TGGGACATTGAGATCATTTATGTTTAGAGTTAATAATGATATGTAAGGTACTATTCTATTCATCATACTAGTAGTTATCTTGTCGCTTTATTTTCTATATTGTGTTGGTGTTTTATAAAGCCTGTGTACTTTATGATTTCCAGCATTTTTCCACTGTTGTTATTTTGCCCTTTTGTTTGAGTAACTTGGACTCCCTTGAGTATTTCTTGTAGAGCTGGTCTAGTGGTGACAAATTCCCTTTGCGTTTACTTTTCTACAAAGAACTTAATTTCTCCTTCATTTGTGAAATTTAGTTGTACAGGATACAAAATCCTTGGCTGATTGTTGTTCTCTTTGAGGGGATTGAAGGTGGGATCCCAATCCCTATTGGCTTGTAGGATTTCTTCTGAGAATTCTGCTGTTAGTCTGATAGATTTACTTTGTAAGTTATTTGATACTTTTGTCTTACTTCTCTTAAAATTCTTTCCTTCATATTAACCTTGCATAGCTGGATGATTATATGCCATGGGGATGACCTTTTGCAATGAATCTTTTGGAGGTTCTTTGGACTTCTTTTATCTGGATGTTTAGATCTCTGGCAAGACCAGGGAAGTTTTTCTACATTATTTTCTCAAACAGATTTTCCAAACTTGTTGCTTTCTCTTCTTCTGCTTCAGGAATATGTGTGATTTTTAGATTTGGACGTTTCCCACATTTCTTGGAGAAATTTCTTTATGTTGGTTTTCAATGTTCTCTTGAAGTTCATTGACCAAGTTTATAATCAACCTTTTAAATTCTATGTCTGGAATTTCAAAAATTTCATTCTGGTTAGGATTCCTTGTTGAAGAGTTGGTATGATCTTTTGGGGGTGTTGGAGAACTCTGTTTTTTCATATGTCAGAATTATTCTGGTTCCTTCTCATTTATGTAGATTGTTTCTTCTTATTTGAAGCTAGCAGGGGGATGACGTGGGCACTGTGGGGTTTCCTTGGTTATATATAACTTTCATGTGATTAGTTTCTCAATTGGCAGATGTGGCAGCCCTATGCTATGTACCTGCACTAGCTCATGATATCCTGAGTGACTGTAGTAGTTTGGAAAGTGTTGTTAGCTGGCACTTAGGATCTGGTCTTCTCCAAAACTGAGGTATTTTATCTGATGTGGTTGGTGGTACTGTTGATATCCAGCCAGGAGGTGGCACTTGTAGGAGATAGCTGACTATGATGGTGGCTATAGGGCTTCTCCAAGGAAGTGTGCAGCCTGGCTAGGCTGAGGGTGGGACTCAGGGGATTTCCTGAGATTTGTGTCTGATTTGAGCCTTTTTGGGGGATGCAGAGGAAAGGAGTTGAAGGATCCCACAAGTGTGCACTCTTAACTACCCCAGTGAGGTTAGAGAGGATTTCCAGGCTACTGGGGTAATTAATACACAGAAGAGTTCACAAGGGGAGTAAGAGGTAGCTATGGCTCACCCAGCTCCTGCCTTGACTTCAGGCAGTCTGCAATCTGAATGTTGTGACTGACCTCAGGGCTTCAGGTGTTCTCAAGCAACTCACCCAGCTGCAAATTGTCTGCAGCTGCAGAGTTTGGCCTTGGAGCCTGTTCCCTTCCACTTTGTCTAGAAGGCATCCACTCCACCTTGCAAGAGTTTTGTTCCTGGGAAATGGCAGCTGGCACTGCTCAAGGTTTTTTCTTGCATCACTCCAAGGCAGAGCATGGCTGTGGAAAACTCAGTTTCCTGTGAGGGGCTGGGGTCCCACAGGCTCAGGGAACCCTGCAAGTTCACGGCAGAAGCACAGAACTCCCAAATTTCTGTCATGTACCTTCCCCACTGTGTCCAGAGGCTGTGGTGGATGGTGGTGGTGCAGGCAAAAATTCAACCAGTTCCAGCCAGGTCGGTGAATTTTTTTTCTTCTTCTTTGCTTTAAGTGGTTATTATTTGGGCACTTGTGGAGCATGCTGCTGGATCTGTTCCTCTCTGGGTGCTGGGGAAACTCTCTCTAGTTTGGATTACTCTGTAGGAGAAACTCACTCCAGCTGCTTCATGGTAGCCATCTTAATTTCTATTTTGAAAAAAAATTGGAAAAAAATAATAACTGAAAACTTTCCAAGTGTGGCAAAAGACAGACATGAGAAGTTGAATGAATCTTTTCAATTGCACGTGGATCATTAGCTCAGAGAGAGCATATTCTGTGTCATTAAATAAACTTTAGCACATGTTAAATAACTGAAGTTGTACATTCTCTTCCAGAATTGAAAGCCATAAATAAATAACAAAGATAATAGGAAAGTCCCCAAGCACTTGGAAATTAAGCATCAAACTGTTAAATAGCATATGATTCACAGAGAGGGTCTTATCAAGTATTACAAAATAATTTAACTGAATTAAAATGAAAATAAAACTTATCAAATTAGTGGGCTATAGTTATAGCAGTGCTTAGACAGACACTTGCAGCATTAAATGTCTATTATAAATGAAAAAAGATCTCAATTCAATAATCTAAGCTTTCACCCTAGGAAGCTAGAAAAAAAAAGAGAAAAATAAACCTAAAGTAAGCAGAATGAAGGAAATAAAAATAAAAACAGAAATCATTAAATTAGAAGCAGAACAAAATAGAGAAGATCTGAGAAACAAAGGTTTTCTATTAAAAGATCAATAAGTTTGATAAGTGCCCAGAAAAACAGTCAAAAACAGGAGAAAAGATAAAAATTACCAACATGAGAAATGAAAGTTGAGATATCACTGCAGACACCACAGGCATCAGAAGTATGATAAGAGTATACTACAAACAACTCTATACACATAAATTGTATAACATTAAAATGACTAATTCCTTGTAAATCACAAACTCCAGCCTGGGCAACATAGCAAGAACTCATCTCTACAAAAATTCAAAAAATTTGCCAGGCATGGTGACATGTGCCTGTAGTCCTAGCTACTCATGAGGCTGAGGCAGAAAGAGCTCCTGAGGCTATCAGATTGAGGCTGCAGTGAGCCATGATTGAGACATTGAGCTCACTCAAGATGAGACAAATAACTGAAACAAACTCAAAAGTATTTAATACTAAAGCCTTCTGAAAAAAAAGTCTCAGCAGAGATGGCTTCACTAGTCAGTATGTCTAAAGAAACACCATATGCACATGATCTCTTTCATAAAATAGAAGAGGAAACACTTTTAAACTAATTATATGAGGCTGACATTGCCCTGAGATCCAAACTAGGTAAGAAAGTGCAAAAAAATGATACCTACAGATGAATATTTATCACAAACATTGATACAGAAATCTTCAACAAAATATTAGCAAATCAAATACAAGAATATTTAAAAGAGTAGTATAGCATGAACAACTGGAGTTCCAGGAATGCAAGGTTGATTATATTTAGAAATCAATCTATGTAATTCACTATAAAGGAGAAAAATTACACCAAGTGCTTTTTCTGCATTGGTTGAATATCATATGAATATCATAATTTGAATTATCATGCTAACTGATTCAACAGGATAATTAATACCATAATAGCATTCATAATAAAACTCTTAGCAAACTAGTAACAGAAGGGAACTTTGCAGCCTAATACAGGGTATCTACACAAAACAACACTAGCATCATAATTAGTGGTAAAAGACTGAATCCTTTCTTCCTGAGATTGGGAACAAAGACAGGGCTATTCAACCCCTCTCTTGTGTTCAGCAACTTCTATCATACTGGAAGTCCTAGCCAGTGCAATATGCAATACAAGAAATAAATGCGTACAGATTGAAAGGAGAGAAAACTATTCAGACATATGTATGAAAATCTCAAGGAATCTCAAAATAAATAAATAAAATGCTACTGACATGTAACAAAGCATGTATAGGATCTATAAGCTAAACACTCCTAAATGCTGAAGGAAAAAAATCAAGAAATTTTAAGTAAATGGAGAGACATACTGTGTCCATGAATTGGAAAACTCTGCATACTGCATAGAAAAGATGCCAATTCTTCTCAAATTGACACGTCACCCAAAAAGATATAAGAATGAAAACTGAGCACATGAAAATGTCTTCAACAGCATTTGCTGTTAAGGAAGGCAAATTAAAATGTGATACCACTGCACATCAATTTGAATTGTTAAAATGAAAAAAAAAATGCTAATAATAACCAAGCACTGACCAAGAGGCAAAACAACTGGATCTCTTATACAGTGCTGACAAAAATGAAAAATGGATAGCCACTCTTCAAAACTGTTTAGGAATTTCTTTAATTCAATTTTAATTATAAAATTAAATATAATATATTTAATTATAAAATTAAATATATAATTACTATATGACCCGGGAATTCTACTCCTGGATATTTAACCCTAGAGAAATGAAAACTTTACATGAAAACCTTTTCATAAATGGTTATAGCAGCTGTGTTCATAATAGTCCTAGTCTAGAAACAACTGTAAATGTTCTTCAGTGTGGGCAAATAAACTATACTACATCCATATAAATGAAGTAGACAATATAAAGGCACATATTAATAGATGCAACAAGTTGAATGAATCTCAAAGGCATCGTAGTGAGTGCATGACTCCATTGATATGACATTTAGAAAAGGCAGAAAGTACAGGGCCAGAGAGGAGTTGCCAGGGGTTAGGAATGGGAGAGGCATGACTATCGAGCTAGGAAGAGGGAGTTTTGGGGGGATGATACGGCTGTCTTTTACCCTGATTCTGGTAATGGTCACACAAATCTATGCATGAGTTATCATTTTCATAACTTTACATAATGAAAACCATTTTTACTTCATAAATTAAAAAAATAAAATTGTTTTTTAAAACACAGATCATTTCTATAGTGATCGTCCTTCTATTGCATTCATGCCCAGAATTCTTAATCATTAAAATAATCTCCATTTGGACCTTCATATTATGGCTATGTGTTCAGAAGAAACTGAAAATGAATACTTGCATAGATAATGGTTACTAACACTGGAATTGCTGTTTGTTTCATTATTTTCATCATTTGTCTTTTTTCTTTTTCTTTTTGTAAACAGATTCGTTTTGGAATTCAGCTTCCTTCAACACTGAGACTTCATACCTTCATTTTCCTACGTTCCGTGGAGAGCTTAGTGCTGACATGTCTTTCTTTTTTAAGACAACAGCTCCTTCTGGGGTGTTTGTGGAGTACCTGGGGATCACAGACTTTATCAGGCTAGAGCTACGTGGTGAGTTGCCCACTCTAAACAGAGCCACTTGGTGCTGAACTATTAGCAATAAAACCCTTTGTAATCTAATTTTGTATTGCTACGTAATGACTGTGTAAATTTCTGGGATACACACAATATTTTTGATACATGTAATAATATAGTCAGAGTAATTGAGATTTCCATTGCCTCAAATACTTACTATTTCTTTGTGTTCAGAGCATTCCAAATTTTCTCTTCTACCTACTTTGAAATACACAATAAATTGTTGTTAACTATAGTAAGCCTACTGTGCCATCAAACACTAGAACTTATTTCTTCTATCTAACTACAGTTTTTTAAATGTTAAGTGATTTCTCTTCATCCTCCCTTCTCTTCTAGCTTTTTCAGCCTCTGGTAACCACCATTCTACTCTATCTCCAAGAGATCTACTGTTTTAGTTCCCACACATAAGTGAGAACATGAGTATGTGTCTTTTTGTCCCTGGCTTATTCTCTTAATATAATGTCCTCTAGTTCCATCCATGTTGCTGTAAATGACAGGATTTCATTCTTTTTAATGACTGAATAATATTCCATTGTGTATATATACCACATTTTCTTAATCTATTTGTCTGTTGATGTATGACTTAGGTTGATTCCATATCTTGGCTATCATGAATAGTGCTTCAATTGGCATGGGAGTGCAGATATCTCTTTGATATACAATTTATTTTCTTTTGGATATGTACCCAGCAGTGGAATAATAATCCAACTTTTAATATATTGCCATGCTTCCTTATCAATTGTATTTTTTATTAAATACTAAAATTATATTATTTAAAATAATTGTCTGAAATAGAGAGAAAAACAATAATTCATGAAACACAGTCTCTGACAATTTTGTGCTGCCTTAACCCTGTGTGCAATCGGAAGATTAAACCAAATGGGTCAAATAACTAATTGCTTGATAAATTACAAGGTTATTTGACTGAATTAACTAGTCACATTGTTTATGCAAAACTTAAAATTTAAAATGATATAAAGCTTTAAATACATCCACTTAATGCCAATTAATGTGCTAGTTTTCTTTTACAGGTGAGTATCTCTACTACTCAGAGCTTAGCTAGGTGAATAGTAAATTCCGATGAGTATGTTAAAGTCAGTTTGTTTTTCTTCTTCCAAGAAATGCATTTATTTTGCCCTGCTCACCAACTCAGAGAAACATTTTCTGCATCAGTGTCACTGTCTCCTCCTTAGTGAGCAGTCATGATGCTGTTCTCATGATTAGTTAATACTAAATTAACTTGAGCAGCTCTCATATCTACAATTTCCAGCTACCTCAGAATTGACCTTTTCCTTTGATGTGGGCAATGGTCCTTGCGAGGTCACGGTGCAGTCACCCATTCCCTTCAATGATGATCGATGGCACCACGTGAGGGCAGAGAGGAACATTAAAGAAGCCTCACTTCAAGTGGATCACCTCCCTCTCAAGATTCAACCTGTCCCTGCCGAGGGCCACTTGCGCTTACAGCTCAACAGCCAGCTCTATGTGGGTGAGTGCCGGAGTGCTCTTGGTTTATGATCAGCCGAACTGTGCTGTCAGTGCAGAGATGGACCAAGAGAAAATCGTAACTACAAAAGCAGTGATAATAGCAGTCGCAAACAATGACAACAAGGACAAGACTACTATGGCGCCATTTACTAAGCCTCATATTTAGTTAACATTTAGTATCTTTTCCCAAGGTATTGTATTCAATTTATAGGTGAAATAATGGAACCTCAGACAGATCAGATGACTTGATCATAGAAACCCAACTAGAAAAAGAATCCAAACCCATATTAGGCTAACTTCCAAACTTGCACTCAGTATCATAGCCAGTTTATGTTTGCTTCAACAGCTTCTCATCAATTCCATTTATAAAACACTTAGCAATTTCCATCCATTTGTCCCTTTTCCCTTCTCAGTGCCATTAGAGAAGCTGCCTTGTACTTGAGACAACATTCTCCAGTGTCTCCTCAAAAACACACCTTAGGAAGCCAGGTCACAGAACCAGCCTTGTGTCTGTTGCTACAGAACTTTCCCCCAGCTCCTGGGCTCTCTCCAGGGGTTCTATTCCCTTCACGGCTCCCTTATCACATCCAGCACATTCAGAACCTGCTCTGGCTCCTGCATGCCTCTTTTTTTGTGTTTGTTTATTCATTTTTAAAATTATTTGCATACATTTAATATAACTATTACATTTTCCGTGGGTAATTTAAATTGTGGTTTTTTATTTTTTGATAAATGCTTTTTTTAATATTTTATTTTAAAGGTATAGAGTACAATTCAGGATTAGGTATACAAGTGAACATTATACAAGTAAAATTTGGGCCTCCCTTTGGTCCCCACTTTGCCTGGTTTGAGATCAGGTACCCTTGTTGATGTGGTCTAACCCACACCCCAACAGTATCCTGCTACTGCCAATCCCTTTCTTCTAGTTTTGTGGTAAATGTTCGGGATCCGCTTATGAGTGAGAACATGTGGTACTCTGTTCTTTGTTTCTGTGATAGAGCAATGAATATTATAGACCCTAGCCCATCCAAGTTGCTGCAAAGTCTGTATGCTTATCCTTCTTCATGTCTGCATAATATTCCATTGTGTATATGTACCACTCTTTTTTTTTTTTAATCGAGTCCCGTTTCAATGGGCAATGTGGTTGGTTCCATGAGTTTGCTGTTCTGAATACTTCTACAGTAAACATGCAAATGGAGGTATCTTTTTTGTAGATATGGAAGGTCAATTTCTAGTTCTTTTATAAATCTCCACACTGTTTCCTGTAGTGGTTAAACTGGTTTGCATTCCCCCAGCATAGAAGCATTCCTTTCCTCCACATCCTTGCCAGCATCTGATGTTGTTATTAATGTTTTTATTAATGATGGCCATTCTTACTGGGGTTAGGTGTTATCTCAATGTGGTTTTGATTTGCATTTCTCTGATGATTAGTGAGGCTGAGCACTTTTTCATGTGTCTGTTAGCTGCCCGTATGTCTTCTTTTGAGAAGTGTCTATTCATGTATTTTGCCCACTTTTTAACAGGGCTGTTTTTTTTTTCCTTTTGGCATGCTTGAGTTCCTTGTAGATCCTGGATGTTAGCCTTTTGTCAGATGTACAATTGGCAGATATTTTTCCCCATTCTACCTCCCCACTCTCCTGATGGTTTCTTTTGCTTTGCAGAAGATTTTGATGTGTTCTCACTTGTTTATTTTATCTTTTATGGCATGGACATCTGGGGTTTTGATCAAGAATTGGTTAACTACTCCGATTTCTGTAAGGATGTCTCCTGAGTTTTCTAAGATTCTTACAGTTTAAGGTTTTATGTTAAGGTCTTTGATCCATTTAGAGTTGATTTTTGTGTATGGTGATAGGTAGGGGTCCTGTTTGACTCATCTGCTTGTGATCAACCAGTTTTCCCAGCACCATTTACTGAATAGGTTCTCGTCTCCCCATTGGTTGTTGGTGGAGGTTTTGTCAAAGATGAGTTGCCTGAGATATTGAGGTTTTGCTTCTGAAATTTCTGTTTTATTCCATTGGTCCATATGCCTGTTCTTATACCAGTACCAGGCTGTTTTGATGATTGTAGCCTTAGAGTAAAGATTAAAGTCTGGGAGTGCGATACCTCCCACTTTGTTTTTTTGTTGAGGATTGTTTTGGCTATTCATGGTTGTTTATGTTTCCATATGAATTTCTGTATTGTCATTTCCAGGTCTGATAAGAACGATGTTGGTAATTTAATGGGTATTGTGTCGAATCTGTAGATTGCCTTTGGTAGGATGGACATGTTAACAATGTTGATTCTCCCTATCCATGAGCATGGAATATTTTTCCATTTGTTTGTGTCTTCTTGAATTTCTCTGAGTGGTGTTTTGTTGTTCTCGTTGTAAAGGCCTTTCACTTCTCTGGTTAGGAAGATGCTGAGGAATTTCATTTTTTTGTGGCTATTGTGAATGGGATTGTGCTTTTTATTTGTTTCTCTGCCTGTTTGTTGTTGGTGTATAAGAATGCAACTTTTTTTTGCACATTTATTTTGTACCCTGAGACTTTGCCAAAGTCCTTTATCAGTGCGAGGAGGTGTTTGACAGATTCTCTTAGGTTTTCAAGGTATTGGATCATATCAGCAAAGAGGGATAACTCAACTTCCTCTTTTCCTGTTTCAATACTCCTGATTTCCTTCCCTTGTTTAATTGCTCTAGCTAAGATTTCCAACACAATGCTGAACAGGAAGGGTGAGAGTGGGCAGCCTTCTCTTGTTCTGGTTTTCAGGGGAAATGCTTCCAGTTTCTGTCCATTTAGCAATATGCTGACTGTGGGGTTATCGTAAATGGTACTTACTATTTTGAGGAATGTTCCTTTTATGCCTAGGTGTTTGAGGATTTTTAATCAAGGAGGGATGCTGGATTTTATCAAAAGCTTTTTCTGCATCTGATTATATAATCATGTGGTTCTTGTTTTTACATCTGTTGATGTATTTTATCTTTTCTTTAAAGATTACAGCTTTCAGTAGAGGAAGACTTCCCTTTGATTTTCTTGTTGATTGTTTTATTTTTGTTCTTTGGCCCCCTCCCCCAAAATGCTTTTTGCTGCATTTCCTTTTTTTCTTTTATTTATTTACTTATTTATTTATTTGAGTAGAAGTCTCACTCTATTGCCCAGACTGGACTGTAGTGGCACGCTCATGGCCATGTCAGCCTCTACCTGCTGGGCTCTGGCAATCCTTCCACCTTAACCTTCCAAGTAGCTGGAACTACAGGCATGCACCACATGCCCAACTAATATTTTTGATTTATTGTAGAGATGAGATCTCACCAAGTAACCCAGGCTGATCTCGAGCCCATGGGCTCAGGTAATCCTCTCACCTCAGCCTCTCAAAGTGCTGGGATTATAGGCGTGAGCCACTGCACCCAGCCAGTAATTCTTAATATTTGATCAAAACCTATGCTTTAAAAAAATTTTTTTTTTTCAGAAAATATTTTGAAAGACCACAGTTTCTGACATTTTCCATTGGGCCTCAGGTTGACGAGGGATGTGAAATCTCAATTAGGATACCAGGAACTCACTTCTATTTTTGCTGTTTCCCTTGTAGGTGGGACAGCCACCAGACAGAAAGGCTTCCTGGGATGCATTCGTTCTCTGCAGCTGAATGGGATGGCCCTGGATCTGGAAGAAAGAGCCACAGTGACACCAGGAGTGGAGCCAGGGTGTGCGGGACACTGCAGCAGCTATGGACACTTGTGTCACCATGGAGGGAGATGTACTGAGAAACCCAGAGGGATCTCCTGTGACTGTGCCTTCTCAGCATATGATGGGCCATTCTGCACACAAGGTGAATGTGGCCAAGGAGCAGGTCACAGGGAAATTGTAGGAGAGAAAAGAATACGAACAGCATTCTGGCATTTGATACTCTAAGGGAATGATAAGATGATTCTGTGTGATTATTTGAAATAGATTGCTTCTGTCCCAAACCCCTCTATTTAATTTAGGAGAAGATAAGATTCCATTCTTGAGAAGCCTGTGGCTAATTCTATTATATCTAGTAGCAATTCTTTCTGGATTTCTCAAAGGATCATCAGTGCAATGCCCTGAAGAGAGCAATAACCTCTAAATTATACCTCTATACTGGAGACTTAATGTTATGTAAATCTCTGAGGAAGTATATTTTGGAGACAATAATAAAATGTTAATTATTACTCAATTCTGCATTATGGGAATATGGGGGAGAGTAGTTGTGCATGTTTTATTAGAATAAAAAGATTCATATTTTATTTTTTTAATCTTACAAATTTTTAAAGTAAAAAGTAATAAAAGATACCATTATTATTTTCTCTCAGAATATTTAAGGATTAGAGATCTTTTATAAATACACATAAAGCAAGAGTCTTGCACTCAACATATTCCTAACATAACAAAAATTTGTGTCATTCCAGAGATTTCTGCATACTTTGGAATGGGCTCCTCAGTGATCTACAATTTTCAAGAACATTACAATTATACCTCCAGTAAGAACTCCAGTTCCTTTGCAGCTTTATTTCATGAGAAGCTCACATTGACCAGGGAGACGGCCACAATGAGCTTCCGAACCACTGGGACCCCCACCTTACTGCTCTATGTGAGCTCCTTCTATGAGGAATACCTTTCTGTTATCCTTGCCCCAAATGGTGAGTGTCCTTAGTCTAAGAACAAGACTGAATTAGAAAATTATGACCATGATGAAACAGGCCATTTCAGTGTTCAAACCACAAACTGGAAACCTAAAAATATTTCCTGCACTTCTCATTTAATTAGAGTAGGTTTGTTTTTCTTTATAATTCCAAATGTTTATAGCAAAAGTTAACATTTTAGTGATTTAATTGAGATGCCTCTCTTCCATTAAAGTTTGATCCCTTTACATATTTGGTGTGAAACTGTGCTTTTTGTTATTGCTAAGAAGACCTTTCCTTTTGTACATAAATAATCTAAATCAGTTTTGCACCTCTCTTTGAAATAAGAGATCTCATTTTAAACATCGAAAATCTTTTCTCTACCTTCTAAGCAAAGTAAAGAAGAGCTTAAATCACATAAAAGCCAATATCCTATGCATCAGGTAAACATATTTGCTCTTTATCCATCAATAGTTGAGAAGTCACTCATGTCATAGGTACGTGAAACAGAAATGTGGATATAGGAGTTACCCAACCCTTGCCCCACAGGCCTTTCTGAACAAAACTAACTTTGCTTTAGAACAAAACTTTAATCTTGCTTCATGGCACATGAAAGAGGAAATTGAACTTCTAGAAAAGTTTTCCACAATATCTGACCAATAGGATCTGTTATAGGCAATAAAAGAATTACAGAGAAGACCAGTGTGTGAATTGAGAAATTTGGATATTGTAACAAACCTCTTACTTTTCTCTTTGGTTTATTTCTTGACTAGGGCAGAAACATTGACGAAAAAAATCCTGGTTATGCAAAGAAAATTAAGTATGCATTTGTCAGTAATACATCAAAATGCATAAAAATAAGCCACATTAAAAGAAGTTATGCTTATAGAAACTAAATTTTAATGCAATATTGCTTAAGGTTTTGCCATTTAATAATATGAACACACATTAATAATTAACTTAGACCCTCACTGACAGTTTTCACACAGAACTTAGACTTTTTCCTTTAGTTAAGGAAAATAGGAGAACTTGAAAAGAGACCTTTTATGATAACTCGTTTGGTTCACTTGTAAAATAGTATAATTGGGTTCAGAATTTGGTCCTGGAACAACACATCATTATTTCAGGAAGAACAAATATTGGTGTACCCAAGTAAATGCTCAATAGGTTTTATTAAATAAAAACCAAAATTATATAAAAAATTGCTCCAGCAAAACCTCAATTTCTCAACCAACTCATCTTCGACAAAGCCCCCACCACCTACCAATGGGGAGAGGAAAACCTATTCAGTAAATGGTGCTGGGAAAATTGGCTGACCACATGCAGAAGATTGAAACAGGACCCCTATCTATCCCCATGCACAAAGGTTAACTCCAAATGGATCAGAGACCTAAATGTAAAACCTCAAACCATAAGAACCTTAGAAAAGGAAGGAAATACTCTCATGGAAATCGGAACTGGCATCCAATTTCTGTACAAAACCCGAAACCCACAGGACTTAAGAGAGAAGATAGACAAATGGGACCTTATTAAACTGACAAGCTTCTGCAAAGCCAAAGAAACCATCAAGAGAGCAGGGAGACAGCCTACAGACTGGGAAAAAGTCTTTGCCAACTCTAGGTCTGACAAAGGCTTAACATCCTGGATCTACAAGGAACTGAAGCGTACTGAAAAGAAGAAAACAAACAACCCCATTATAAAATGGGCAAAAGACATGAACAGACACTTCACAAAAGAAGACATTCGAGCAGCCAACAAACACATGAAGAAATGCTCAACCTCACTAATCATCAGGGAGATGCAAATCAAAACCACACTGAGATACCACCTAACTCCAGTCAGAATGGCAATTATCAACAACTCAAAAAATAACAGCTGCTGGAGAGGGTGTGGTGAAAAGGGAACACTTCTACACTGTTGGTGGGAGTGTAAACTAGTGCAACCTCTGTGGAAAGCAGTGTGGCGATTCCTAAAAGCTCTAAAAACTGACCTTCCATATGATCCTGCAATCCCCCTACTGGGAATATACCCTGAAGAACACAAATCACTCTATAAAAAAGATACCTGCACACGTATGTTTATCGCAGCATTGTTCACAATAGCAAGAACCTGGAAACAACCATGCTGCCCATCAAAAGAGGACTGGATTAAAAAAATGTGGTACATATACACGATGGAATACTACGCAGCCATAAAAAAGAACAAAATCATGAATTTCGCTGCAACCTGGATGGAACTAGAGTCTATAATACTGAGTGACCTCTCACAAAAACAAAAATCCGAATATCACATGTTCTCACTCATATAATGGACCTTGAACATCCAATGCAATACTATGAGAAAATGACGGATGGTACTGGGAACCTACGGGGGGGAGGGGGATGGGATTAACAGTAGCAAATATCTGTCGGGGGATGGGAAAACACTTTTTATCTACAGGGTGCCTGAATGAAACGTCATTGTACACCTACCCTTAACTGTACCCCACAAAACCATAATAAAAACTACTGATTAATAAAAAAAAAAAAAAAAAAAAATTGCTCCAGTTAAAAATGCCATTTTTTTCTTCTTTAGGAAGTTTGCAGATTAGGTATAAGCTAGACAAACACGAAGCACCTGATGTTTTTAACTTTGATTTTAAAAACTTGGCTGATGGGCAGCTTCATCATGTGAAGATTAACAGAGAAGCAGCAATGGTCTTTGTAGAGGTAAGACAGTAAATTCAATAACAGCAGCAGTAATTACAGTTGTGATTCTCAGCATGTAAGACTTGGAGCAAAAATTTGACAATAAATTCTAATATAATAGGTACACATCAGCACTGTTTTTCCTTAAGTCTTGATAGGACTTAAAATATCATCATGGTGTTTTATTTTATTTAACAGTGTTTGCTGAGCAATGACATTGTCAAAGTGAATATTAATATTTGACCATTGACATTAACAAGCTATCCTCATTGGTTTGACTTAACTTGGCAGGGAAATGTCTAGTTTATCATATTGACTACTGGTGATATACTAATTGGAACCCTACTTACTTGGTACATAAGAACAATTGCTACAGTACATTAAACTCAAGGAAAAAATCAAGATCTTGCTTAAATGGGAATACATTTTTAAAAAGCATCAGAGTATTTAAGCTATACCTTGTCACAGGGTCTTGAACAATCACCTTTATATATTGAATATGTATATAATACATTTTATACTCATATTACGGATTTTCTTTGAAATACCGAGCTTTGAGTCTTAAAATAGTTTATATCTCTTTGTAGATGGTACCAATTATAGATACTTAAGCCATGAATAAACGTAGGAGGAAAAGGAAGAGACACTAGGCTAGAGTAGAATTTTAGATATTACAGAAGTTGTTTAATGAAACAGTTCTCTCCTTTCTAAATCCTTTATTGTTTGAAGTTGACTTCTTTAACTTTTGTGATAGCAGTAACATATGGCTTATTTTTTATCATTTTTCTTAACCTTCTTTTGATTCCCCTCCTCCTATCATCAAAGTTGCGGGCCATTTTAATGTTTGCTTCTTGTGGAACATTTAATAGGTTAACCAGAATGTAAGGAGGCAAGCCATCCTGTCGTCAGGGACAGAATTCAATGCTGTCAAATCCCTTACACTGGGGACAATATTAGGTAAGTAGAAGAAAGAGTGTTCCCCCTCATGTTGAGCATCAGAAGTGCTGTATTGCAAATGCAGGATGCACCAGTCATACTTAATTTCAACCATAATGTCCTGATGAGTAATAATCAAGGTAGAAACTCTACTCTTGACTGAATGCACGTTATTGCAAGTGCTGCCTAGAGACAAGACCTTCTGTGAAAAAATGCTTCCACACTGACCCTCTCACTGGGCAATCAGTCTAATGTGAGAAACTTGGTGTTTTCCTAACAATTCGGGTAAACCAAAATCAAAGCAGATATCAAGTTCACAGATTGTATATTCATCAACAGTCAAATACAGAAATCATTTAATGATAAAACTAGATTTAAGTTTAAGGGGAAAAGAAAAAAAACTGTTCATTTTCTTTTAGCAAATGAATGCATTTTGGGTCGTGCACTGGCTCCTACCTTGCCTGTGGGTTAAATGGGATGTGTTCAGTGCTGCCTGCTACTCTTGCAAAAACACAGCCTCACTATCCTACAGACATTCTTTCCAGCTGCCAATTATTTTTCATAAAAGCATACTTTACTATTTAGGCATCTAATTATTTATGTATTTATTTTATTTTAGAGTTGTGGGGTACATGTGAAGATTTACTACATAAGTAAATTGCATGCAGGTGAGGTTCTAGTGAGCACTCTCACCCCTGGTAGTGAACCTGCAACCCAATGGGTGGCTGAATGCTGCTCATCCCCTTCTTTCCCTCCCCCTGCTAGCAGTTATTCCTTCCTTTGTGCTCCCATGCCCAATGTTTAGAGCCCACTTATGAGTGAGAGTATGTGATATTCAGTTTTTTGTTTCTTTGATAGTTCACTTAAAATGATGGTCTCCAGCTGCATCCATGTTGCTGCAAAGGACATTATTTAGTTCTTCCATGCGACTGCATAGTATTCCATTGTATGAATACATAGTATTCATAGTATTCATAGTATTCCATAGTATTCCATAGTATTCCAAGATATTTCTTCATCTGGTCCACTTTCAATGGGCATCTGGGTTGATTCCTTGCTGTTGCTTTTTCAAATGAACGTATGTGTGCAGGTGTCTTTTTGGTAAAGTGATTTATGTTCCTCTGGGTATATTCCCAGAAGTGGAATTGCTAGACCATATGACAGCTCAATTTTTCGTTATTTGTGAAAATACCACACTCCTTTTCATAAAGGCTGAACTACCTTACAATCCTACCAACCGTGTAGAAGCATTCCCTTTTCTCTGCAACCTTGCCAACACATGCTGGTTTTTGACTTTTTATTTTTTTATTTTTTATTTTTTTGAGTTGGAGTCTCACTTGGTCGCCCACACTGGAGTGCAG